TTGTGCACGTGTGGTCAGACCCTCCAACGTTTCAGTCACCAGTGTCACTAATAATCCATAACCTCTACTTATGCCCATCTTTCTCCGTTAATCGAATCTTGGAACTGCTAGGTATCACTGTAGTCCCCCGTGCAAGATCCGACGTCGTTCAAGATGTTCACCGCTTTTGTGACACCTTTATTCTTATTGATCCTTTCGAACTGGGTTCGAAGCTCGCCACTATCCTCAAGTGAAAGCCAGCACATCAACTGGAAGTTGGGCTCAACTTCGAGAATGCAGGCACCAATATCATTGAAGATGGTCTCGACCAATATGACGGTGGTGGATTCAGAGATAGACGTAACAAATGGATGGGTGGATCCAAGGATACTTGGCGGGCAATTACTAGATGTAAGCAAATACGTACTGTTCTAGCGCAGCAAACATTTAATGATTGAGTAGTTCACAACTCGTCACAAAGGCGAACCTCTGAACGTGATTATATCTGGTAGATCAGATCCCTACGTCCTTTCTGAGAGCGGTTTCTCAACTTATGCCAAGCAAGTTGGTCTCGTCTTTCCGTATGTTCATCAACTAATCCCGAATTAGATCTCTCGGCTTCTCGAGCGAATGTTTTGGTTTACACTACGGTAATATACATCAAGCCAATCTCGGCGACGGTAACGAGAGACAAGATGAGCAGTTACTTGCAAGACAATATTACTTCACAAGACCTGGTGGTCCTGTTCTCGGTACCTGTTGGGAAAGTCTAGCTGGTGAGTGATTAACACTTTTCGGAGTATCTGATATTCATTTGCCTCAGGTGGCAATCACTTTCGTGCTTGGAAACAGAACGGTACCATGGCGGATACCGGTGCATGGTTCTTAGGTGTTTCCAAAGAAGAGGTCGGTTACTCTTCTCATGCTCTGTTTAGCTTGCATCTGCAGCTCTCATCTCGTCAATCCTTAGCATTCCGGAAAGCACCACATGATTATCCCTGATGGTTATAACATCGGGCGGGATTTCCTCGTCGCTCAAGCCGTCTCTTCTCCGACTCACTGGAATTCTATCTGGTGGCGAACTGAGGTTGAATGGGTTGAGGGTCTTCTTGAACCAGGGAATGACGGCGTCAACCATGAGATTGAGCAAGACGGATTTGTAGCGGTGCTCACTGTTACGCGTTTGTAGATTATACATAGGGTTGCGAGAGCAAGTCCTATCGCGTAATTTCGTATGGCTCTCACCCTCATACAACTACCATCCTCAGATTACCCAACTCTCCCAGGTTCCTCTTCATGGTTCCTCCGTATTCACGATTGTGCCAGTATGATCATCTATCTGCATGTCAATCCTTCTTGTAAACTTATCTGTTGTATGTATGTACTCATTTTACATAGATTTTTCTGGACCCCGTTCATTTGCTCTATTGAGTTTCTAAAAGGGGCTTCATTAGATGCATTGTATTTATATAATTGATAATAAGTAATAGACAATTATCACTGTCGACTATAGCTACGGAGTAAAAACCCTACTATACATAGCGCTCGCTTTTGCAACTACGACCTGTACAGGCTTGTACGTCGCTTCAAGCAATCATACTAACTCTCAACCTCCTCATCAATTGGAAGACTCGACGTTCCCTCTATCCAAATTCCCGGACTACAAGATAATGAGTGAACAAGCTCTCAACATCCAACTAATCCTAACCTGCCTGGAAAATGACACCAATCTTTTCACGGTCCCTTCGCAGTCCCTATGACACGTTTTCGCAGAGTACGTGAAATCTGCCTCGGTCGGAATATGGGTGAAGAAACCAATAAGTGTAAATACTAGTCTAGATACTTAAACACCAGGTATACCCAGTTTCGACTTGACTGTGTTCAGCAAACTTCTAACAGCCGACTTGAGAATGCATCGTGGGCTTAGAGGGGTTTTCTGATACCAGCGGTAGGGGTGACTGAAACTGTTGTTTTTGAATTGGGAGGATCACTATCCACGGTGCAGCCTGGCTCGCATCTTAGAATGCAGATACGATCGGACTACCGAGACTATGCACAAAATCAAAATCTGATCCCTGAGCTTGAGACGGGACAGCCGTTTCCGTACCAGAATTTGAACGGGCATGTGGTCTGGTAAAATTTGAACGAAGGTTAGTCCATATTACCTTGCGGTCATTGTGTGACTGCAGCGCTCATCTAAGTCGCTTGGATCGATTCGTGAATTTGCCCAGAGCTAGAGTCAATTCCAATAATAACCATCGTCCCCCGCTCGAGCTAGGGAGATGTTTGACCACCTCCGTGCCATGAGATGTTTACAAGATACGTCGGCTTGCCTTGGCATGATGGGGGCTGACTCCGTTTGCAAGTATCGGAGAAGGCACGACTTAGACTTTAGCAAGTAGACTGGAAAGGGCGTTGAGTCAAGGCTTCCCAGTTATCTCTTGCATTCGTCATAGACATGCAATTGGTGTTAGATTGAAGCAGAGTAATACTACCACAGGGATGAATCTTTTTGAAACACTACTCCCATATTGATGGAAAAAGTCGAGCACTGAAGCAAAACTTGTATCAATTCAAGGGAAGGGAGACTCTGTTCTTTACCCACACATCCTGCTCCAATGCTTTGGTTGCTGGATACTGCTTGAAGGTTGTCCAGACTCTTTCGGGTATTCAGCCTAATGACATGCTTGAAGTAACCGCAATTACCCAATAAGCCAGGTTGTATGTGGTGGTTCAATTCGAAACATGAGATTGAGGTTACTATTACCAAAGTCAGGAAGACTGAATGAATACTCAAGCGTGCTCACTTTGACTCTGCTTGTAAAATTCCATAAGGACGTCCGGAAAGGACCCATGGCCCAGGAAGTGGAAATCGAATTTTCTCGCATAGTGCATGCGGTAGTTGCAGCACCGGTAGGCCATCACATGTACCCTTGATGTGATGCCCCCGCATGAAGCCAAAAGGTGTTTCACTATAGATTGCGTGGAGAGTCGGCTTTGAGAGGAGAGGAAGGAGAAGATGAGGATTATATGGAGCAGGCATACGCACAAACTTGAGCAACGGGGTGTCATACATTGCTCGAAGGAGGAGATGCTGATTTTCAGTTTTCTCCTTCCATTCCCAGTCCGTCTCGTATGGGAAGCGCAACTTGACAAGCCTGCTCCAGTGCACCGTAACGCACGAACAGATAGCTGCAACTAAAGTTCGAGTCTGGATATTGTTGTAGGTGTTGTTGAAATCATTCAAGCTCAGAGAACACGGCTGGATAGATCGGAGAGAGCTGCAGAGACCTTTGGTACTGTCCCAGGAACTGACTGCCAATGGAAGACTGATATGAGTGATATTCGACGTGCATTTCATTATTTTGGAAGCTGTTGCACCGAATCCGCCATTGAAAAGTAATTTCCGAACACGGACGCCAAGATGAGGCTTGCTACTGAGGGTTCGTGCAAGACAGCGTGCCTGCTCTGAAGTGGATAATATGATGGTATGGTAGAAGGACATGCACGCAATCTGGTTCCAATTTCTGCAAACAAGGAGGGCAGCATCCCTGGTGGTAACGAAAGCTGGTTTTGAGCCAAATCTATGAGCGAATTCGAACTCGTCATCGTCAATGACACAAACGTCTTGGAATACCAAGTCCAATACTTCATTTGGCAAGGATTTCATTTGAGAGAGAGAGAGAGGGAGAGAAGAGAGAAGAGAGATGGATTTGAGTAATATGATGCAACTGCAGCACTGGTAAGTAGCTGAGCTCGAAGACACAACGCTGCTTGCAAAAATAAACAAATTGATGACATTTGTGGGCGAATTTTCAATTTGTCAGTCTCATCATGTCCTTCTTCACTGACCCTGTATATTCTTGGCCTTCAGACTTGTGCGACAAATTGCTCGAGTCCAGGTCATTATCAGCATCACATACGTCCTACGTAGACCTGTACGACGAGAAATTTGTTCTCAAAACTAGAATGAAATCCTCAGGCGAGCTCGATAAAGACAAACTCGCTCGGGAAATCGATATGATATCTCTTGCTGGCCCAGAATGTTCCGTTCCTATCATTGGACGCCACTTTCTTCATGGGGCGGTGAACGGTTTCGTCACTCCGTACAGAACATGTCTTACCCAAGGTCGAGGAGATGATATTCGTCCAGAGGTCTTCAATGATCGCAAGGAGATCATTCAAAAACTCACAGTTTTGCTGGAAAACTTGCATTCCAAGGGAATCATTCATGGAGACGTCAAGCCTTCCAACCTCGTCCTTGACGATTCCGGGAACCTGCGAATCATTGATTTCGCCGAGTCCGTCTTAGAATCTGAACATGCTTTGTCCTTGCCTAGAACTGCCTTGACAGCGCGCTACGTCTCTCCTTCCTCCATGAGGGCACTATCTCCCTTGACTCGTGCAGATGACCTGTACGCTACCGGGGTGACGATTTGGCATATCTATACTGGACGTTTACCGTTTGAGGATGTTGACGAGGATGAGGTGGACGATGCTATCCTACATGGTCTTCGTCCAGACCTCACCATGATTGATAACGAAGATGTTCGAGCAATAGTCTCTAAATATCTGCAAGACGGAGAGCCCAATGTCAAGCCTCCTTCTTCAACCTGATTACTGGGAAATTTCCATCAAGCACACTTGTTTGTAACTTTGTTATAGCGGTTTACCAGCGTTTGTTTGTAATGATTATATGGATGTACAGTAGCATAGATTGTGAACAACTTCAATAGGCTGCTAGCTGACTTTATTCCAATCACATCACCCTGCTATGTACAATAACATGCACAGCGTTTCGAGTAATCTTGCTAATCTCCCGGGCCAATCCTCCTGGTCAATTGGAAGACTCGATGCCCCTTCTTTGCAAATTCCTGCACTACGTTATAATGAACAAGATGGACGTAGGAATAGGTCGAGCGCTGCCCAAGTCGCGGGCCAAAAACAATATGCTTACTTACAGTTAACGTATAAATAATTCCTCGAATGAAAAATGTTCAAAAAGGTTTACTGCAGACTGATGCCTCCTAGCCGGATTGAACGACTGACCTTTGCATGAAATCATGACTGATTACAAGTGCAACGCTCTACCACTGAGCTAAGAAGGCGACGTAAGTTAGACGAGGTTTATGAAGATATAATAACGCTCTGTCCCTTCCTCAAATTATATCTTCCATGAAGCGTACGCGCTAGAAGTGCAGATGTAGAAGGTAAACAGTACAATAAGCTACAAGATAGATGAAGAAGGTAAAGATACACACAAACACCGACCTTTACTCGGGACAAAAACTCAATATCGGTGCCCACGTCCGTGTCTACAAGAACGGTGATGGTGATGTAGTGACCAGTAGTGACCACGACGACAGGAGCTTGTTCAGCCTTGTTGTGAAGCAGCAGAAGGAGTCATTGCGCCACTACAATATTGCATTTGCGGTGGAGCCACGGTGGAAGGATAAGTTCATCCTAACGAGGATTCCTTTCAATGCTCATACCGAAGAATATCAACACTTCACTCGCAATAGAAGTTGAAAATAAGACAGAAGACAGCAACTTTGACTTGAAGCAAAAGAAAATGCAAAAAACAAATGCCTCCTGCCAGACTTGAACTAGCGGCCTTTGCATAATTAATTCTACGTCGTCCGAGAATACGAGTGCAACGCTCTACCACTGAGCTAAGAAGGCATACCCTATTTTCGGTGAAGCTGGTATATATATAGGGTTATATAAATTTCTGTGACAATCTCGCACTACAACGTGACGGAGTGACAGCGCGACGCGTCAGTCTTCGTTAGATCTTTACATCCTTCGACTATGCCTTCACTACGAGGAACAACATTTGGTAAGGAAATTTGATAATCTCTCCTGCTAAATGCTGATAAGCTCTACAGACTCGAAATCACCTTCGGTTCCCGGTGGAATCAAGGCGTACTATCAAACCAAGATTGAAGCAGCGGAACTCACAATAAACCAGAAAACGCAGAATTTGAGACGACTAGAGGCTCAACGAAATGCACTCAATGCAAGAGGTGCTATCCTTGTACTCTTTCCATTTGGTTACTTACTCATATATCTCATAGTCCGTTTGCTTCGAGAGGAACTTCAATTATTACACGAACCCGGCTCCTATGTTGGCGAAGTCGTCAAGGTTATGGGAAAGAACAAGGTGTTGGTCAAAGTCCAACCGGAAGGGAAATACAGTAAGTGCACTACATTAACCTATCTCGTCGCCATAACTCCTTCTGCAGTCGTCGACCTCGACTCCGAAATCGACATCAACGCCCTGACGCCAAATCTCCGCATTGCCCTCCGTTCTGATTCGTATACTATCCATAAAATACTTCCTAACAAGATCGATCCCCTTGTCTCGCTCATGATGGTTGAGAAGGTTCCCGACTCGACGTACGAAATGGTCGGTGGCTTGGACAAGCAGATAAAGGAAATCAAAGAAGTCATCGAACTGCCTGTCAAGCATCCTGAACTCTTTGAGAGCTTGGGTATCGCCCAGCCTAAGGGGGTACTCTTATACGGACCTCCTGGAACGGGTAAAACCCTGCTTGCAAGGGCTGTCGCTCATCACACCGACTGTAAATTCATACGAGTGTCCGGATCTGAGCTCGTGCAAAAGTACATCGGAGAAGGCTCCAGAATGGTCCGTGAGCTTTTCGTCATGGCCCGAGAACACGCACCGTCAATCATATTCATGGACGAAATCGACTCTATCGGTTCATCGCGTGGAGAAAGCGGTAGTGGCGGAGGAGACTCGGAGGTTCAGAGAACGATGTTGGAATTGTTAAACCAGCTGGATGGTTTTGAGAGCACGAAAAATATCAAGGTCATTATGGCTACCAATCGAATTGGTCAGTGAGGTTCTGATTATCATTAAACGGCACTATTAAAACATGTTTGCGTGACCTACCCAGATATCCTTGACTCTGCCCTCCTTCGACCTGGTCGTATAGATCGAAAGATCGAGTTCCCACCTCCCGGTCCTGAAGCCCGAGTGTCCATCTTGCGTATCCATTCTAGGAAGGTTGGTGTTTTCCTCATCTCATGATGGAACTTCTTGTCTTCATGTGACACATAGATGTCGCTTCAACGAGGGATCAACTTGCGCGCACTTGCGGAGAAGATGGGTCAATGCTCTGGAGCGGAGGTTAGAGGTATTTGTACAGAGGCCGGTAGGTGTAATGCTATATCGCAGGGGTGAATATCAGCTCACGGCGCTCTCAGGAATGTACGCTCTTCGAGAACGTCGACAACACGTTACACAGGAAGATTTCGAGTTTGCCGTCGCAAAGGTGCTGCAGTCTATCGATTTTTTAATTTCGTCTTTTGACAATATTTGCCTAGGTCATGAAAAAGAACCAAGAAGGTAATACCTCAGTCAACAAGCTTTTCTCATAACCTTGTCGACTTCCGATAAATCTTTTGTACCTTTCAATCCTCATTGCGAATATCAGAACATATCGAAAAATGAGGTGCGAGTACTGAGATCATTGAGAGTATAAGTTGCTCCGAATTCATTTATTCAGTTGCAACTCTTTGTGCGCAGACTTGTACGTAGAAAATATGTAGGTAATGCAACAGGGAAAGCAAGAGAGAGTAGTAAGCTAAGCGTCCACAGCAATGTGCTTTGAGAATTTACAAATGCAGGAAAAATGCGGAAAGTAGGAAGCGTCGATAAATGACGTGCTTGAGGGGTTTTACAAATGCTATCAATGAGTGCTATAACAGTGGAATAGAGATAACTGTACAGAAAAAAATGCGGAAATGCAAAAAAAAAAAAAAAAACATATCGTTGAACAATCATTTGAGAAAATACGTTGCAAGCTTTAGCCAATACAGGGTAAAGCTCCGGCATGAAAACGACAACGCTCAGTCATCATAGCTAGGGAGCCGGTAGAGTTCAAGCTGATAATCGATTGGCTGATAGCGCTGGTAAAGCTCATCCCTTCCAAGATAGTTTCCTGGTAACAGTGAGGGATCGAGTTCAGGTAGCAATTCGGTGGAAGAGCTCGAGCCGAATTGTTGATGATCATTGAAAGAGCTAATATCGAATCCGGTCTCTGCGTTAGAGAAACTAGTAGAGGCTTCTCCGAAATTCGACGCGTTCAAGGCAAAAGCGTCCCAGGCGGAGGTGGATTCGTTGTAGTCCGGAGCATTCAAAGCTGTGGTAGTGGGATCGATGTTTTGGTTGGTGACCATAGCGTCGATGGTTCGGAAGAAGTCCCCGTGAGCCAGAGCATTATACATTGTGGCATTGGCTTCCTCAAAGGATTGTTGCGAAAACGACGTGTCGAAGGTAGAAGATAGTCCAAGTGAAGACTGTTGACAGACATTTGAGAATGAGAGTGTTAATCATAGTTGATGGGGGAAACTTACGTCGTGTAACTGCCCTTCAAGTGATGAAGGATTAGGGGCCCAAGCGCTCTCGCCAGCGAGAAACCCGGAGGAAACGTTCGAGTAAGGCGAGACTTCCCGACTTCCAAAGTCTTGAGAAGAATCGCCAGAGTTGAATGGAGAAGTCTGGTCTCTACCGGAAGCGGGGTCGCTCACGCTAGATGTCGGGGAGAAGGAACGGAGAGAGGAAGAGCTCTCGTCCGTGGAACTATCCTCAACCCCATCGTCCAACGCAAACGTACGATAATGAGGAGCACCAGCTCCCGTTACCCTACGCTTAGATCGAGCCAGCTCAGCCTTGTCCTTCTCAATCTGCTCTCTTGTCCTGGGCTTGTAAACATAACCAGGATATTTCTCAGCATGTTCCTTCTTTTCTTGCTCGGCACGGAGCTGGTACTCCTGTTTGACCGCGGGCGAGGCAGCTTTCCAAAGTCTAGAAGCCTCCTTGGAGATTGAAGACTGAGTCTGTTTTCCTTCGTTGGCCCTCGTCAACACCAGGTCGTTCCGGAAGATGATGAACGCGTTCCGAGGGCGAGGGATTCTCTGAGGAGTCGTCGAGACTGAATTTTGTTTGGCTTTTGGCATCGTGTCGAAGGAGTGTCCGGAAGATGCTAGCAAGATCGGGAGAGTAAGTGAGATTGGGAGGATCGAAGTGGATGACTGGCGACTGTTGAAAAACAAGAAGATGTCGGGTTTTGCAAGTCGAAAAGCGCGTCCTTTTGAAGACCCGACACGTGATGGTCAATGTCGCTCATTTCGTGGAACAATAAGAGCAATTTGACGCTCACCATTGACCGGCCAATTTCAGTTTCTCTTTAGGGTCTTTTGGCAATCAAAGGAAGTGGGGTCAATACCTGCTTCGAGGATACTTAGAAGTCGTGGTCAAATAAGTCGTTAGCCGAAAAGAACAATGGAAGCTGGTGCTGGTCCAATAAGTGGCTCGTTCCCTTCGAGGAGCGGTCTTAACACACGAGGCTTAAATGATAGCAGGCCAAAGACCTGAGGAACACTGCGCTTACGAATGATTGGATCCATAGCATTTTGAGTATTGTGATCCGAAGATTAGATGGGTACGACCTGCACAGGTCACTGGCGCCGTCACTGTTGTCCTCCAGCCGTCCAAGCCCAGCTTTCGCCTGAAGCCAGATCCTGATGAAGGATATGTGAGAGGTCCTCTCAAGTGACGAGGACCCCAAGAATCAATTCGGACATCGACACATCGAGAGGAACTTTGTCACAGAAATCGTGAGGTCTTCTCTCGGTTTTTATCTTGCTCAAAAGAAAAAATTGAGCTAGAGTTACTATTTAGCCGTTGAAACAAGACATAAGTGGACAAGAATAAGACTTACAGGCTGAAGCAGGGCCTTTGTGACTACCATCAGCCTAGAGGTCGAGTAATGGGAACCAACCGTGCTTTTTATGCAGAGTCGATGTGGATGGCTTGACTCTAAGTATTACCGATGATGCTTGGCCAGAACGTCTTTGACGGTGAGTTGATACTTGCTCTGCCTGCGAGGATGGTTCAATTGAGGATGCATTCGAATGGCCGCTATAAACCCTTGAATTGCTTGCTTAGACAAATATTTGTGCACGAAGCAACGCGAAGAACTGCAGAGTTATGGGGCGTATGTAGCTACGCACGGCGTATGTGAACGTAAAAAATTGCTCCAACACGATCTTGTATGAGGAAAGTTCAAGAGGTCAAAGCACCACATCGTTGAGGTATTGAGGATGAATGGTCGTAATTGAACGTTGAACGTTCATGTATCCAGTATAAATTGCCTGAAAGCAAAGACGGAGAAGTATGGAGACTTACCGGCATATGAACCGACTCCGAAATGTGCCGGTAGGCTATTTCCCGCTTCTTCTTTGCTCCCTCCGTTATCTCTGACGAAAATTTATGTGACGCCAGAATGAACGTCATTTACAATTGCTACTGGTACATAGATATGTTTTCTCCGTATGTTTTATGAAATTCGATACAACATTTCTCGCTGCTCCTACGTTTATATTGTACTTTTAAAAATTCTTCAAAATGACTTACAATGGAATGAATCAAGTAGGTTTTCTGTACTCTCTGGAATAACGCCCTCACTGCTGACCACTTTTATTGGATCTAGGTTCATTTTGCTCCAGCTGTTGCTCCTGGCGCACAATCGCAACTACCTGGTTAGTCCTATCATATGAAATGATCTCAACTTCATCATAAGGTGTAGTTGAACAAGGATCGTACAATGGATCCTACGGTAATCCGACACTGGTTTCAACAATTCCTGATACAA